ACGAACATCAAGCCTGACTCCGGCACCCCCCTGGCAGGTTGGCCAGAAATCAAAGTCAGGTACATGTGCCAAAATAAGTCTCGCGGTGTCTCCGGGTCCGTTCCTAAGAATGAGTTCCCACTTACGACTGCTAGCCTCAACGTCGTCTTCGCGGAGAAGATTCTGCCGCTGCTGTACCCCCTCCTCTTGAGCGCGGCCATCATCATGGTCGGNNGGAAAGACGCCTGCCATCATCACCATGGCCATGGCTATCGGACGCTACCATATCCGACGCCTGGGTCTACACGGGGTCAAGCCTGGCTGGAGACGAGGGAAATCTCTTGACAATTTTAGGCAGAGATCGCCGCAGATCCAGGAAGCACTCTTCTTGGACGACCCTTCCGGGCGACGTCTGGACATGGCCGACTTGAAGTCTTTCGTCACGACAGACGAGGACGGCACGGTCAGCGGCCGCTACAACGATGCCCGCCTGACGCGGAATCAGTTCCGGGCTCTTGCGTCCAACGACACAGGCGATGAGCCTGAAGGCGTTCTACCGTCCGACACTACTCTGGACCCCGAGGCTTTCATCAAACTCCTTGGTCCCCTTTTTGCGGACGCGCACAAGAAGGACATACTTGCAGTTCTGAAAAGATGTACTACATTCGCCTTCACGAACTCGGCCTTGTATGTCCGTCTGCCCTCCGAACGCCCCGATGCCATAGTCCATCGAATCGCCAAGGGCGACATCCACAAGGATCTGCTGGCCGAGAAAGACAAGCACCTCTACAACACTTATAAGACCGGCTTGACGGTCTATGGGGCCAGTCACGCAGCTGAGGTCGAGCAAGAACAGGCCATGATTGATGAGCGTGCAGAATACTTGGCTGGATTCCCCAACATCAAGAACTACGTCCAGGATTGCAACAACGCCCTCCAGACATGGCTTCGGCCTGTTCGTGTTCTCCCAGACTCGCCCGACTCGCCTCAGCAAAATGGGGAACAACCAGCAGGTGACCTTCGCCTTTCACTGTACATTGGCACCGGACCTAAAGTCAATCGGGTGGACCGCGCCTCGTTCGTCATTCCAGACTCCTCTGTAAGCAAAGCTCGCAGAATCCGTGGTAAGTCCCCAGTTCCCGAGACTGCTCTCCTTGGCATGGCCGCCTCCGCTTCGTCAGCGCCCCTGCATCCGGATGAACAGGAGACTCTCGTGCCAGAAATCGATCCGGACGAAGAGGCCGCAGTTGTCATGCATTGCCAGTGAGCTGAGCAGAGGAGTAGCCAGCACGGTTATGGTAGTATAAACCCAATGGCTGCCGTTCCAGAGCGAGTGCAGAAACTTGATGTCGCTGCAAGCTCTTGCCTTCTTAACAACTTGCTGCTGCTATGGCTTCTGGACTGATAGCAGACGTCTGGCCTCTAGTCCTGCTACTCGCATCCAACTGTGATCAGCATTTTGCTCAGGGCTCGCTTACTTCTTCTTGTGTAGAGGCCGGCTTAGGTGCTTTACGTGGCCATGGGAAAGCAAGTCATCAAGAAAAAGCCATTTTGCCGTTTCCCGTGCGCGAAGAAGGGCAAACCCCGCTTCATCTTGAAGAACAACCTGACGAAAACACCGACAGGCAGCAAGGCCCAAATGAAGAAATGGAAGGAGACGCCGTACGTCAAGAACCCCATCAAGATCCGTGTGGATCGCTTGAAATGGAAGAGGAACTTGAAAGACTTCATCGGTGTCGACGAGGATGCGACGGTCAAGATCCTCACCGAAGATGGCTTGCTGCCAGACTGGACTCGCATGACGTGTCCTTTCTGCAACCTGGGGGCTGTCTCCGGCCTTCAGTCCCGCGGACGGTTGACTCCAAGGTACCGCTGCAGACGCAAAGCCTGTCACAAGTTCATCCTTCCCCAACATTTACATCCCATCTTCACATCAACTATGGGGCCGGAAGGACACTCACTCGCCTTGCAAGCCAGTGCCCTCCTTCTTCGACTTGCAGGCATGCCACTCAGCTCCATCCACATCGTCCTGGATATCAACCACAAAGCTCTGGAGAGAATGGAGAAGAACCTTGCCACTACAAGGAAGTCTTTCGTAGAAAGAGAGCAAGCGCGCATGGTGCTCGGCAGTGGCAAGGGCACGAAGTGGACGGAGGTGGAAGCCGATGAGGCGGTCTTTGACAAGTACTTGATCCCGGCAGAGGATGCTCCCAACCCTGACAAAGCCATGAAGTGGGACCAGTGGTTGGGCATAGTGCCCCGTGGGAAGCCGTCATCTCTGCTCTTGTTCCGATTGCGTTCCTTGATCACACACAAGAGAGCCCCAGGCCCCGGAGCCGTGCGAAAGGATGATTGGGTCAAGATCGCAAACAAGTGGCTCAAAGACCGCTCGATCATCCTGCACACCGACAGTGCCCGGAGCTATCGGAGTAAGATCCGTGGGGTGCTTCACGATGCTGTTGTTCATCAGAAGAAGAAGGTGCTCCGTGGAGGAAAAATGGTCTGGCAGCCCCCCACCTTCGTTCGCCTGGCAAAGCACAAGCTCCCTGATGGGCGCAGAATCACCGTCAAGGCCGGCACACAGGTAATTGACAGGGCTTGGCGCTTCCTGAAGGAGCGGGTAAAGATCAATCAAAACACCAAGACCGGATCC